GACATTATTTCATTGAACTTTTTTCTATTTCAGAAAAATAAAAAACTGGCTTTGCAGAGTAATAAAAAAGCAGAAAATACGACTATGTAGCATAAGATCTATCTAAAATTGTTATAAATTTTGTGGTTGGCTTCAAATAATGTCTTATTGCAATATCATATTTTTCACTATTTTCATAAGACATTATTTCATTGAACTTTTTTCTATTTCAGAAAAATAAAAAACTGGCTTGGCAGAGTAATAAAAGAGCAGAAAATATACATACGTAGCATAGGAACTACCTAAAATTGTTATAAATTTTTAAATTTTTGAAATAAATAAAAATAAAAATTAAATAATTTTTAACGTTGTTGTCTTGAGACAGCGCGCTCGGAGAGCGCGCGTTGTTTCTAGTAACCTTATTGAAAAAAAAAATTAATTTGGAAGGAGAAAATTTTTTTGGAAGTTTGGTGACTGTCTTCAAAATTCCAATTCGTCACCAAACTTCCATTTTGATCGTACGAAATGTTACCGAACTTCCACTTGCACGTATATATACTACTATATAAATTTCTGGTGTCTATCTGTCTGTTCGGGGTAATCTCCAAAACGGTTAATTCGATTGCGACCAAATTCAACAGATATGTAGAGGGGGTTGTTCGGAAAGTTATATGCTACTTTTTGTTAATGTGAATTGTTTATAACAATTAAATTTGTTATAAACAATTGAAAACAGGATTTATTCAATTTGAGATCTTTCAACGGGAAATTTTTTCTTTTACTGAAACAATGTTATCCACTGTGTAAAATGAATATAAACATACTTCTTTTGTTCGTAACATACCATTTGTTGTAAAAGAACAGAAATTGAGTTTTACGATCATTTCCTTTCATTATCAGTAAGAGTGCTCCTTTAACTGGAGGAGTTACCCAGTGAACACAGAATGTAAATGTGACAGTCACAAAAATTCCATATCAATACTATTCGTTTTAATCTTCAATATCCGTTATTAGGTAAAAAATTTAAAAACTAATTGTGATAAATCTATTTTTTGTAACAAATTTTGATATTTCCTCAGTTATTCTGCTTCCCCTAGATTCTTGAAGAACAGAACTTATTATATTATATGGTTTTAACCGTATATCCGATATTTATCGTATTTTTCTGTTACTTTTCTTTTTTTTATAGATTTCAAAATTATTTTGGAAGTTTGATGACTGACACCAAACTTCCATAATCGTTGTAGGGAAGTTTGGTGACAGTCACCAAAATTCCAATTCGTCACCAAACTTCCACTTTGGTCGCACAAAATGTTACCAAACGTCCGCTTGCATGTATATATATATATATATATATGTATATATACTTCTACTGTTATTCAAGAGGAACGCTTCAACTTCATAGCTATAGATTTTATATCAACGTTACTATGTCAGTAACACGGATGATTTGGTGATGTGAACTTACAAGTTTGTCCCCTACTAAAAATTGCTCCAACGCGCCTGAAGAAGTTTTCACTTCAAAAAGAAGTGAAATCCGCACAAAACAGGCATCTAGGAATGCCTGTAAAAACTGGCGCCAAGTCCACATTCAAGTAAAATTAGTATAAATGGAAAAAAGGTAAGATCAAAAAAACATGTGAAATCAGGTAAAACGCCAAGTTAGCTGCGTCTTTTTTCATAATTTTTTCGAACTAGCAATGTACTATTGACTTATAAAATTTCAGTTAATTTGAAGTACCAAAAAAAAATCTTTAAAACCAAAAACTATGGAACTTGGCCCAATTTTGTCTTTAAAGTCTGCCCAATTCAGTTTCAAATGTTCTTATGTACGAACTATAATATATGGAACTGTTGAAAGAATTTAAGAAATTGGGCCAAGTTCCATAGTTTTTTGGTTTTGAAGATTTTTTTTTTTGGTACTTCAAAATTAACTGAAATTTTATAAGTCAATAGTACATTGCTAGTTCGAAAAAATTATGAAAAAAGACGCAGCTAACTTGGCGTTTTACCTGATTTCACATGTTTTTTTGATCTTACCTTTTTTCCATTTATACTAATTTTACTTGAATGTGGACTTGGCGCCAGTTTTTACAGGCATTCCTAGATGCCTGTTTTGTGCGGTCAAGAATTTCTGGAGGTATATTTTTGTGAGGCCCAAAATCGAATCCTTTTATCAAATGATTTAAATTATCTCATGTAACATATTTTTTATTTTCGCTTATATCATTGAAAACTAATCCAAGATCATACTGACAAATGCCTTCAAGTATATCATGTAAAACATCAACTGATAAATTTTTTGTGACATGAAAACCATCTAAATTATGAAAAATGCATGGCTCAACTATTCCTGTACTTTTTGGATTATTTTCCTCTAAATCAGATTTATAATTTTTTTCATTACACATTAGATTTTTAATTTCAAAGTATTCATTTGAATGTCTTCGAGTTTAATTTGACAGAATCTACAAAAATGAGATGATCTAAAACTTGTAGTGAATCCAAAAATTTCGTGTAATCCTAAATTGTCACCCAAAAAACAATGCCATTTTAAAGTATACTTGTGTCTTATTATTTTCCAGCTGAATTTCTATACCTTCTTTTTCTAGAAAATTAAGTTCATCTAAAACTTTTGCAAAAATAATTGAATTTTTTAATTACTTTTCTGTCTAATGAATTGAATAAGATAAACAAAAAAATATTATTACTTTTTGAGGCAAGATGTGGTGGTGAAGATGGTAAGCTCAAATATACAGCTCCACATTTAGAAAGATCCTTATGAGAAGACAATGGATTATTGGTTTCATAATCATCAAAGTGTAAATTAATTGGAAGAATAATCTTTTCCTGAAAATCCTTTGACAAATTTTTCCATAAATCTGTCTGTATTAAATTTGAAATGATTCTATTATCATTTAATCCAGAAATATATCCATTGTCTCTGAAAAAATATGTGGCATTTCAAAAACTTTCTTAAAACGTAACGTACAGGAATAAATTGAGCACACACTTCTTTCATTACCATTTCTTTAGTATAAATTCTTGAACTTCTCCAATAAGGTATTCTTTTGGTTCTATATATGTACCTATTTTGTTAAATATTCGAAAAATGTTGAATTCGGTATACGTATCTGTATCATATTGTTTCTCTATATCAAAAAACAATTCATCAATTTTTTTCTAACTTCTTTCTCTACTGATTCGTTAATAGCTATGAAGACTTTTGTTATTATTTTTGCTAAAATACTTGTAATTAATGTTGTCGTATCTTTAAAAATATCTATGGCTCTAATACGGGGCAGATCTACTATAGCAAATAATTTTGCAGCAAAAAATACAAGATCTGTATTGTTAACATTTTTAAAGTTCGTTTTCTCATTTCTATCAGTTGATGATATGTTAGATACAATAGAAATGTCAATACTCTCAACATTTGAATGACTAATATAACTAGGATTTTTAGTGCAGTGATTATTTCAAAATACACAATTCTAATTATCTTTAAAAATTCGGTACTTCAACATTTAAAATATTAGAATTATGGCAGGTAGAAATAGAAACTGTTTTCTTTTTTGTTTTATTGTTACAGACTGTATTTCTCTCAAAATTAAGATTATGTTTGAATTAGTGTGTTTGCGAAGTAAATTTAATGATGAAAAACTTCTCGTACATTTTTTCTCACCACATTTAAATTTACCTAAATTTTTCTGAAAAATAAAGACATGTCTCATATAGCTTGATGTGATTTTAAAGTGTTTATTACATTAAAGACAAAAAAACATCTTAGCTGAATCGAATGAGAATAGCGGTAAAAATTTATGTTGCAAAATTTGATTCAATGATATATTCAAACTTTTGGATAGTATTAGTTATTTAAAAATTTTTATAAAAACGTCCAAAAATAGAAATAAATTAAAATGTCATCACTTAGATATGATTACTGATCAAATGACTTTTGAAATGATGATATTAGTCAAATAATTTGCCATTTGGGGGTTTTCACACTTTCCGTTGATTTTGTTGAATGGAGAGTAATATGATGAAACATTTTCTGATGGAAAGAAGTCGACTATTTGATAAGCTATCTCCTTAAATCTGGAAACTTGAATCCTGTTTGTAAAAAAAAATTGTTATTGGACAGTTACTAAAACTATCATTATAATTAATATCATCAAAATGATTGTAAATACCTGAACGAAGAAAAGGAACTTGATAGCTGATTATCGTTCACTAAATTTGAAGATAAATGGTCCTCAAATTTGAATTTTATAATCATTTGACACAGTAGGTTTTCTCAAATAGTTTACTAGACTATTGTGGGTCAAATAATATTCAACTACGAATTTCCTTCAAGTGTATTTTGAATACGTTGATAAATTGGCTGAAAAAGTGGAGGATGAAATTAATACGAACTACTTTTACTTTTTACAAAAATACCAGATCAGTTAAAAAAATAGGTATTAATGTGTTATACAATTTTTTGATAATACCATTCAAAATTAAGATTCGTGAACCCTGGAATTTTTACTTACATTATTCAATTGTTCTTCAGTAAGTTGTTCTTCAATTATCACCAATTGTTGATCCTGTAAGACAGATTTTATTATTAAAAGTGAATATAGTGCAAATATAAGATGTATAGATAAATAAAATGTTTTCATTAAGTAAATTGATAACGTCATCACAAAGCTGTACAAAAATTAAAACTTTTTGTCCATTTGATTTTTAAAAATTCGTGCTTACTTATTTGAATAATAATTTCTGATTGTTAACCGTCACAATAAACAGTAACCAGTGAACTTTACGTGTTTTGCCTCTGATACAAACCAACAAACACGTCTCAGCGCGTAAAACGAACACACACGAAGTATCACGTGACAACACGAACGTATAACTATAGTGTCTACTACTCAGTACTTGATGTTCAACGCTATAGATAATTGAAAATTGTGAGTTTTTTTGTAATGCAATGGTGAATGTTGTGTTTTGTTTACATGACAATTTTGATTTAACTCAGTATTTATTTGTTGACATTGAATGATGTTTTTCTAAGGATGGTACTTTGTTATTTAATTTGGTATTATTGATAAAAATGTAATGCATGATAATAATATTTTATTTGCAGTGCAGGAAGGCAATATCGAGGTCCTAATGGTAAAGCATTTATTATCAGTGGAGAATGAATGAACAGTTTTTTCTTAAAATGAAATGTTAATTAATATATATAAAATTCTTTGATATAGTTAATAAACATTATCAAAAAGCTTAAATGAATTTCTACAAATGTTTCACACAAACGTTATAATGGACAAAAAGTTTTAATTTTTGTACAGCTTTGTGATGACGTTATCAATTTACTTAATGAAAACATTTTATTTATCTATACATCTTATATTTGCACTATATTCACTTTTAATAATAAAATCTGTCTTACAGGATCAACAATTGGTGATAATTGAAGAACAACTTACTGAAGAACAATTGAATAATGTAAGTAAAAATTCCAGGGTTCACGAATCTTAATTTTGAATGGTATTATCAAAAAATTGTATTACACATTAATACATATTTTTTCAACGGATCTGGTATTTTTGTAAAAAGTTAAAAGTAGTTCGTATTAATTTCATCCTCCACTTTTTTAGCCAATTTATCAACTTATAAAAGATACAACCGATGGAAAAACTATAGTGAAATACTATTTAACTCATAATCATGTAGAGAAAAATTTAAGAAATCTATTGACTCGAATAATTTTGAGAGCTGAAGCTAATAAAATTTTTGGTCCAGTTGACATTAATAACGAACCAAAATCTCTTCCGAATTCAGGTATACATTTTTACGATTACGTTAATGATAATTTATTTTTCATTTGATCCTTTCATTGAAATGATAATCTTATAATTTCCAAATGAATGTTTGTTCTAAATAGAATAACAGTGACAAGATTCAAAGAGTTAGCTCATCAAATTGTCAATCTTTTTCCTTGTGAAAATGTCTTAACATATTACAGTCCATATGTCGAAGTCAACAAGAGACGAATAAACTCATCGGGAACTATGTGGGATCATTATAATTATTTGAAGAAAAAGTTTCGTGCAGGAAAAATTCTCGATGCTAGAAATATTTTGGAAGAAGAACCTGATTATGCAGCTAATGGTATTTATAATTTTCTTTTAAGTGAATAATATCACTTCACTGTTGACAATCAATTTAAAATGGTTTCTGTCTTTGCAGAAACAGAAGTAAATCAATTAGAGTGGTTGAAAGCTCATTTGGGATCCTAAAGACGTGGTCCTTCAATACTGGAATAATACATATGATTAAGACACGCAAAGTTAAAGGCTGGACTTTCTGTTTCTGAATACTTTTCCAACATTCCAGCATTGGGAGTAGCTCAAGGAATTCAACTAGTAAATATTAATTGATAAAATTCTTCAAATGGTATCAACTTAAATCCTCTTTTTTGTATTCATGTTGAAAATTTTATGTTATTAGATTCAAGCAGACTTCAAACACATATACTCTGAAAATTTATTTAACCAGAATCGATGGCGTATCATAAAAAATTATTTGATGAATCGGTTGATGAATGGGTCTTTTATAAAGACTTTGCAGGACGAGGCCTTGCTTTTATTATTACCAACATTGCTTGCTCGTAAGAATTATCCGTTTATGTTTATAATCAGTTTTTTAAATAAATTAAACATTTTGAGTCTCTTTTCTGTAGATAATCAAGATGCAGTGATACTCTACTTGCTACCAAACTTGATTCAAGGTGGCACAAAAAAAAAACAAATGATCAAAACCAAGTAGAGCTGACTAAATTTACGCCTGTAGAACAACGTTCTTATTTTTTAATTCACGTCGAGGTAATTTTATTTTTTTGAGTGAAGTTAAAAGAAAAATTTATGAAATAAATAGTTTTCAAACTTATCAGATAATTGGTGACAATTTTCAGACACCACAGCATTACAGGCAACAGTAGACAAGCGGATTGATGAGTTATTCAATGCTGGATAACCTCTGCAACCAATTCCATTTCTTATAGGGCCTCTTACTGGAATTACTGGAGCACGCATCGTAATCATAAAATAATATATAAAACTTCGTCAGTCATGGAAGCAATTAACAATTGTTTCCAGAGTTTTTTTGCGTTAGATTGTGAATATCCAAAACGAGCGTATAACTTATGGCTTTTTATACAAAGAGCTCTATACAACATAAAACTGCGAATCGACCGAACTAATCGATCGATAAATGTATTAGAAGGTGAAATCGATTTACTTTTAAGACAAAATAACGTATGACAGCACAAAGAAAATCTTTTCTATTTTGTTATTACAAGAAATATTTTTAAGAGTTCAAAGTGCAACAATAATGTAACCATTCATATTAAAGTTTTCATTTATGTGATCATTTCCTAACAAAATAAAAAATTTATATTTCATTAATTTTGTGAATTTTTATGGCTTTATTCCTAAAATACTATTTTTAAATAATAAAATTAATAAAAACTGTTATTTTTATTTAATTTGCGCGCTACCGTTAGATGGCGCAGTAAATTTTCGCGGTATAAGAAATTTTACTATGCAGTGAAGTAATTTTTACAGTAAATCTTCGCAGTATAAGAAATTTTACTATGCAGTGTGGTAATTTTTACTATAACGCTGAGATGTCACCAGATTACCGACAAATTTATAGCATTTTTACTATATATTTCTCTCTGTGTAGCGTTATCACTGTAAAGCTCAGTGTGCAACTGATTGTTATTAGGTTTAATGGAATTGACAATTAGGATCAGCGTTCTTTAAATAATTTTCAATATCTTCAATTTCATAGCTTCCTGTTGGTATTTCGATATTTTATCAGTAGATAAGCAGGGCCGGTTCTGGATCACTCTGCAATACCGGCCAAGTAAAAAAAGTGAGTTCTGATCCGCACTAATTACCAACCGCGATAACTTTGACGATAAGTTACCGACCGCGATAAGTTATCGACACTGATAAATTATCGGCAGCGATTTTTTTTACCGACCTCGATAAATATCTTTAATGATAACACCGATTTTTTACCAACCGCGATTAAAATTTCACTATCAGCAAAAATAACTGACTTTTTTTCAAAGTTTTGTCAATGTATTGATATTCTCTCAAAATTTGCGCTACCGACTATCAGATTTTTTCTGGAAATAAATGAATGAAAACAGTAATCTTTTTCGTGTACACAATTTATTTATAGCAAAAAAAAATTTGATTAATACATGAATAATATAATCATAATCATATAATATGTATATTTTTTACAATATTTTATGTTAGTTTTCTCATTTGCGCACTTAAAGGTTTATACTCTATGATTCGATCATGTAAGATCAAACAATAGGCTGATGTATTAGCAGGAAAAGCTTTTGATGATTCAAATTCCAGTCGAACATCAACTGGTCCTGATTTTAAGGATTCATTTTGTTCAGAACAATCAATTACAACGAGTGGTGCTATATCTATAAATTTTCTTCCGTGAGTAGAGGTTCTGCTTCTTTATCATAATATGATGTTTGGAAATCTCTATACATATCATATAATAAGGCAAATTGATTGTGCCTTATGTCAAGATTCATGTTGCCATATGGATAGCATTGTGAATTGAGGAAAAGTTTTACATCCCTTAAATCACAATGATTGAAATGACTTGCATCTTTTGTAGCATCATTTTTGCGTGCAGTTTGAAATCCTAATATAACATAGCGGGGCTTTTCCAATTGAGTTGATGTTTCTACGACCCATACGTGTTTGGTTGTGTTCGGCAGCATTGGATATTCATATAATTCCCATGATCTGAAACTCACTGGAATCGGTGGGTCTTTTGCAATGTAACTTAACAATTCTACTTTTTTTATGTCTGCAACAGTGACATAAGGAATGATCCATTCAATTTTTATAAGCGTGATCGTCTCTTCAGGTTCCGCTGTAGCTTGTACAATTGCATTAAGATCGGTATTTGAACGAGTAAGTATTAATTCATGTTGGCATTGACAATTATGCGATGATAATCTTCAGCATATCCCAACAGCATATGTAACGGTATCAAAACATCAAAGTATCTATTATCATTAAATAATCTTTCATCATCAGTTTCCCAACCTGCATTATCTAAATAATTTTTTTGACCTGGATGAAGAGATAGATATCCCTTCATGAGACTTGTCAGACCAACATTTTTATTTCGATCAATCTCAACACCATTCAACTCATATCGTATTTCTTCAAATAAATAGCATACGGCCATATTAACGAATCTTGATGTTGCTGCTACTGCATTTCCGTTAGATTTTGTAAATTTCCCCGTAATATGAAGGGAACTTTTGCTTGGCAACAGACATAAATCTTGATGTTGAACTGAGATATGTATCTCATCATTATTATTATATGTTGTAGATGCATATGGTTGATGAGCATGCACCTCAATGTGTGCAATAGACTCATCAAATATGACACCTTTGCTTATTGCTAATTTTTCTTCTTCCATGGTAAAAGACATGCAAGACAACACACTTTCACTTTAATTTTGTTGCACTTTGCGTATTTTTAGTCCCAGACTTGTAGGAATAATCGATTTGAAAAGTTAATCGTTTAAATTTTCTTCGATGACTGATGGGATTCAGGCATGATATGTTAGTTTTATAGCTTTCCCCTACTATTGGTTTATAAACAATCCCCATTACATGACTGATTTCAAATGTAAACGTATTGTTACAGTTTCACCACGTAAATTAACCAATTGACCGTCTTGATCAACAATGCGCAGTTGTAAATTATGTATTGTCTGTACGGTGATTGGAAGATAAATGACGTTCGATGGAACTTCAATGATCTTATATCCTGGTGGAACTGATGGGAAAAATTCGTGAATCGTATGTACCAACTGATTATTCATGTATGCTCCTGTAGTAATATTACATCAATCCTTAATGCATTAATTTTCAAGATAGATATTGGTAAATCTGATGTGTGAGTCAATTTTGGAAAAATAACTCGTGGACTAAAGCCTAACAAACTGCCAATAGAATCATGCGGTTTGAAATTTATTGTTGCATTTTCACTGTAAACTTCACTGTGTAGTTCATTATTATTGGGCTTAATAGAAATTGATAATTGAGTATCAGCTTTCTTCAAATAATTTTCAATGTCTTCAATTTCATAGCTTCCTGTGGGTATTTAATACTTTTATCTTCACCATTGAGTGTACAATAAAATTTATTTAGTATTATCAAATTATTAAATTTATTTATTATTTGAGTTCCAGGTCCAGTTTTATCATGAGATTAATAATTGCTGATTCATTTTTCCACGGTGAAGATTTTGGAAGATCATTTCGCATAAAAACACCACGAAAAAAGGGTATTTCATGATTTCTGCATATTTTTGAAGTTCAATATCAGTCAGTGCACGATGGGGTAAATTTAAAAGTACCGGTTTCAAATACAATCCTAATCCTCTCTTGTGCGGTTTTAGACGTAGACCGTTACCCAAAGCTATTACTTCCATTTTCTCGTTATGTCGTTTAGCTTCTTCTAATTGACGTTTGGCGTCTCTAGCATCATTAATTGTTTTTGCAATGCCAGCAGCGCCACCTGCTACAGCACCAACTGCACTTAAACCTGCAAATAGAGGTATAAGAGGTAAATACCTCCCACTTTTGGCGGCATTGGTATAATACGTGGAACTTTCATTTTTTTCTTTCCACCAGCATCGCAAACAGTCTTTCGTGCAGCAGCTAATGCAGATTTAATAGGATCTGAACTGGAATTTAACATAAGCTTTGCTGAATTAACAACTTTTCGCAAATGTTTAACTCCCTTTTCCTTTTTGTTTCTTTCTTTCAAACCCATTCCCAATTTTGATTTAACTTTCATGACGTTGGAAATTCCTAAAGCAGCAATTCGTTCAGCAATATCTGCGTCTCTCGCAAAAAAACGTTTCATAGATTTTTCAGCAAGTATTCTATCAGCTGCGTTTCTAGCTTCAATGTTATCTTAATTTTGCGAATATGCAATATCGTGTTCTTTACAAGCAGCGTCCAATGGATTGATTCCTGGATCTTCACGTGCTAATCTCTCCTTCAATTAGTTCCCGGACCCCCAATAATGATATCCTGGTATATGAAGTTTGAATGGCAATCTGTTTATAAGTGTGTTAACAATACCAGCACCTCGTTTTTTAATACGTGCTGGAATAATGATAAATATGGCTTCTTGGTAATTGATAAAGACAGTGATCTTATAATGGGCGATATAGAAGAGGATTTGATTGCTTCATAAGTATAAATTCATCGTAAATACATTAAATTGTACATTGTGTATGTGATTGTCAGAGTGTCAATATGAAAACTACGAAGCTGCAACACGAAACAAAATATTGCATTAAATAGCAACAGCTAGTGATGCAATACGCCAAAAGCATAAGTTGATTAAACTTGGAAGAGATATGACTCAACAAACCATGAATGAAATATTTAAACCTATGGTGACTCCTCTTAAACAATTAGCTGATAAAACACTTATTAAAGAGGAACCTCAAGAAATAAAAATAAAAAAAAAAGAACCTAAAGAAGAGCCTAAAGAAGAAGTTGAAAGCAAACAAGAAAGCCTTACATCTGATTATGAAATAACTGATGATGATTTTTATACAACAGCAATAATTACCCATCAAAGTACTCCTATCAAAGACATACCTGTAGTAAGGTATTTCAAGATGTTTAATTGTAAGCTCTTGTCCAAAGAATTAAATACAAAGTATGGCATACGAAAGTTAAAAGGTAATCGACTGATGATGGGTGATTCTGAAGTCAGGTTCGACAATAATTTTATTTATATTGGTGATAAAAAATACAATACTACTTCTGGTCTATTGGAATTATTATTTATGAATTCACCTGATCAATCAAAAATAACAAAAGAAGATGAAAACACTTATGGCAGAATTATCAGTATGACAAACGCCTATCGAAAGCATTATCTTCCTGACAGAAGTATCAGAGTAGATAAGAATTTAAAAAAATTCACCGACATAATCAGTAAATATATACCAAAAAGTCGAGGAAGTTTACCACAAATATATGATTAAACATAAACAAAATCATCCTACCGATTATATTTATTGGGATGATCCCAATGAATTTGTAGATCGACTTCGTTACTTATTGCATCTCAAACTGCTGGAAACTTCAGTCATACTGAACGAATAAATACTTCCTACTCTAGGAGATTCAATTATAGCCCAATTTATTAAGGTCTTTTTATTTCGTAGAGCCATCATCACAGGAATATTTACTCTTATCAACAAAATAAACTAAATAATCCTTTCTATAAAACTGTATAAAACTCCTTATTTAACTAATAACCCTTTTGTGTTAACTATACATATGATGATCTAACTTCCAGGGAGAATATCTCCCTGGAGACAAAAGTATCATTCTCATTTGTTTATGTATTGTCATTAATTTTGTTATTGACGTTAGTAGTGACTTTACTTATATAGTTTTTTTTTTTCGTAAGGCTTAGAGTAAACATGGACAAGCCCTGCGCCACGTCAAGTCTTCTGCCAAGATGTGGTTCCAAGGGAAGTAACGGTCCGTACCTGCAAACTTTGTCATGATTACTGGAGGCGTATGGGACCGTATGGGAAGCCTCCCACAACGATAAAAGGGCCCGCCCAGGACCTAGCCAATCATGGTGGTATGAAAAGTCTGATACAATTTCAACTTTTTTTTTGTGTGTACAATTAATAAAAATAGTTAATAAAATAACCAGGTGCACCTGTGATTTTTACTAATATTCTATAACCTTACCCTACTCTGATCCTATTTGACAACTCCCAGAAAATGTAACACGGCTTGGAAAAAAAAAACCTATAGAACCGGTAATGGTGGCATTCCACCAGGGTTTAGTAGTTGATCTTTCGAAAACTGAGCAGAAACTGAAGAAGAAAAGAGAACCGTAGGAGTTGGGTCTGGGTGCCTCCGACAGTTTTGATTGTTTCAGGTTAAAAAACACGAGCATGAGACTCTTGATCTCAGGCGTGGGTGTGAGTGGTCGAAAATTACGATTTAGTTCCAGTAAAGATGTCAGGTCACAGAAAGACAAACCCCATGTCAACGTATAGTTCCAGTAGAGAGAAAATAGCGTTCCAGCGATGTCATTTTCCCACCAGACAAGTTCGAGATCGTTCCAGCATCTTAAGCAAATCTTTCTGTATGGGGAGGAGGAGTTGTGACGTTATTTTTCGATAACGTCTCAATGTCAGCTCTAGAATTGTTTTATTAAATATTTGAGGCTAATAACAGCCAGTTCAGTATATTCCAGTAATGATTTATAAAGTAAATCTATTTACTTAAAGCTCATTTGAGCAGTTACCTTGACTTCTATAGCCCAATCATGCTTATTTTCACATGTTTTATTCATCATACGAGGCTGTTGCCAGTAAAATGGGACTCCAAGAAAAAGATGGAAGTGTCGATGAGGTCGAATTTTGCTGAGTTTAGTCATTAAGTTCTGGAATTAGGATCAAGTTTTGGCGCACATTAGTTTTAAGTGACTCCTCCGTATGAAAATCTGGAAGAAGTCACGTGTAGATAGCCACCGATAGAAAATATGATGTGACAAGTTAAAGACGTTTTGGAGTAGAGGGAGAAAAAAATAAAAAATTGCAGAAAAAGATTTTGGAAAATGAGTTTTGGAAGTCAGTCAATTGCGAACTGGGCTCCTAGTTAGTTGACTGCCAGTCACGCTCATGAGTTAGTCGATGGCAAGCTGTGCCCATGGAGAGTCAAGTGTTACCATCTGGTTGGGAGAGAAGAGCAGAGAAGACTCCAATAAGCAGAATAAAGATCAGAAAGGATCTCCAATTCAAATAGAAGGACGTCCAAAACAACTAGGACCAAGTTTGACAAAAGCTACAGTATCAAAACCTCTCTGTAGAATTTGTGAGTTATTGAAAATGGATTTGTAATGGGTTAAGAGGTAAATTTGTAGTTAGTTAAAATTAGGTTGTTGAATTAAAGAAAATCTGTGAGGCTTGGTTTACTCTCGTACTCGTTAGTTCAAGTTCAAATGTAGATTTTGATAAAGAAGATTATGATTTAGTTTAGTTGATGCGATTTAAAGATTCGTTTATTGTGGAATCTGAAATATTGCGGTTGTGAGTTTAGAATTTTGAGTTACGATTTATCGAGAAACATTTTGTAAAGAAATCTTCTTTAGTTAGTATGTGATGAGAAAATCTCACTTGTGAATTAACCTAACCGTTTAAGGATAGGGATGATTGTGCCGGAACAGAGCAAACGGAAGTCAGGTTTTATAACAAAAATAAAATATCTTTATTTTCAGCACTAACAGGTACACTGAATACACTGACGAACTTGAGTTGTTCACTAGGAAGACTGAATGTCGCTCAAAATCACTGAATGTCTAGTTTTAATTACTGAATGTGAATTGAATGTCTAAAAAATACTCAACTTGGTGTGTTCAGTATTATTGACCTCCCACACGAGCTCAGCACGCTTCTCAAGTTGAGTAAGAATATGATTGTGCACGTGGCGTGAGCCTATCAATGCAATGCAAAATGAATTTTATGAAATGTCTTGAATTTACAATGAATTATCGTGAAATATTACGTGATTATGGATTTAGCGTAAAGCCTGAATTTTTTGATGATTTACAATCGCACTAGTACTGATGATTGACTCACAATTATAAGATTTGTTAAGAATGAATAAGAATGGCGTGTACACGTGAACGAGAACAGTGAAAGAATGGCGACAGGAACTTCATTAGTCAAAGGGACACTCAAAAGTAGTCAAATGAGTGACTAGATAAAGAATTATTGATTATTAGGTCGATTGGTTATCGACCCAGTCCCAAGATGGCCGCCGAAGTTCCTGTCAGCTGGCAAATTCAAATTGAGAATTAATTAATTCTCAACATGCCGCCCGCCATCAGCAACTGGTTGATGATTGTCTTCTGGTTGATTCTGCTGCTGGGCTTCAGGAGTTGGGTTGATTGGTAGAATGGCTAGCTTGACGATTGGTCTGACCAACGTCGTTGTTGGTGTCTTCACCGTTGCTACTCGTGGAAGCCCATCTTGCCCTGGGTGTAGTTGAATTATCCTCACGAGTGGCCATTTCGTGGGGGGAAATCTTTCATCAGTTAGCAAGGCTAATGCACCAACTTGAATTGTTCTGTTCCTGAAAAACCACTTAGAAATAGCTTGTAATTTTTGTAAGTAAGATTGTAACCACCTGTACCAGAACTGCTGTGATTGTCGTTGAATCATCCGCCATCGATTTTGAATTGAATGTGCAGGTTCTGAGGTTGATGGTTCAGGAACAGTGTTGAGTGCTGACCCAATAAGAAAGTGTCCAGGAGTGAGTGCTTGAATGTCTTCTGGGTCATCACTGATTGGCTCTAGAGGTCTTGAGTTGAGAATGGCTTCTATTTGTGTCAGTAGTGTGGTGATCTCTTCAAACGTGAAGAGTGATTCTTTTACTGTTCTCGTCAAATGAAATTTAAGTGATTTCACTACTGACTCCCACTTGCCACCCATGTGTGGTGCTGCAGGTGGGTTAAATGACCATTGAGTGCCGTTGGTGACGATGAATCTCGAGATGACCTCATGTTCTCTGGTGAATTGTGTGAATAATTTCTTGAGTTCTATATCAGCTCCAATGAAATTTCTGCCACAGTCAGAATAGATTGTCTGGCATAATCCTCGTCTAGAGGTGAATCTCCTGTAGGCAGCAATGAATGCTTCAGTTGAATAGTCACTAACTGCTTCCAAATGAACTGCAGAAGTTGACATGCAGACAAATACGCAGACCCAAGCTTTTCTAGTCTTGGCTCCTCTGCCTGATGATGTTTTGATTGTGAATGGCCCAGCATAGTCTATGCCAGTATGAGAGAATGGCCGTGAAGGAGTGATACGTGATTGTGGCAATTGGCCCATGAGTTGTTGTGCTCTTATGCCTCGTTTGTCGAGCACATTCGATGCACCGAAGAATGAATGTTTTTACTGGAGCTCTTCCACCCATGATCCAGTAACGTTGTCTGATTGTTGTGAGTGTAAGTTGAGTGCCACCATGTAGCGTGATTAAATGATAATGTCGAATAATAAGAGTGGTGAATGGTGAATGTCGAGGTAGAATTGATTGATGTTTTGAATCATGACTCAACTGAGCATGCTGAAGTCGTCCTCCTACTCGTAGAACTCCTTCTGAGTCAACGTATGCTGTGAGTCTGTTAAATGAATGGTTTGGTGGAAGATGTTGATTGTTGGATAAAGTCCTGATTTCTTGGTGAAAATGTGCTGCTTGAGTAGACTTTATCCAGAAGATTCTCGCTTTTTCGATGTCAGCTGTTGTGATTGATGCTAAAGGACTGGTAACTGAAGAATGTCGAAGTCTTGAAGTGAATTTGATGATTAAGGCGGTGATTCTAAGTAGTTTATTGAGTGTTGAATATCTGTTGACCAAGTCCCATTGAATTATTGTATCTTGAATTGCTGCGATGAGTGAAATTCCAGGACGAGCTTCTAAGTTGCAAGCCTCGTCAGCTGGTGGTGAATTTACTGGCCAGTTTTCTTGATTTTCAGCTAACCAGGTGGGTCCCCTCCACCATAGCGAGTAATCTTTTAATTGATTTGCTGTGATGCCTCTTGAAGCACAGTCCGCTGGATTTTCCTTGCCAGAAATGTGGTGCCAGTGCGCGTCCGCAACTAGTTCTTGAATTTGCACTACTCTGTTCCTTACAAAGTCCTTCCAGCGTCCTGCATTTGAATTGATCCATGAATGTGTGATTGAAGAGTCCGTCCATAAGTGAATTGAATGTATGTTCACTCTGTGGAGTGTAGCTCGAACATACTTCGTGAGTTTCGCTAGAATTAACGCAGCAGTTAACTCTAGCCTGGGGATCGTGATTTGTTTGATTGGTGCTACTTTAGTTTTCGCACAGATGAGTGTGATTTTGGGCCCTGTGGACGGTGAATTGAATTTTAAGTAGATTGCTGCAGCCATCGCAAGCTGTGAAGCATCAGAGAATCCATGAATCTCGACAGTTGAATGTCTGGTTGTGTGAATCCATCGGGGAAGTGAAATCTCATGAAGTTGAGTGAATTCTTCTCTGATGATCAGCCAGCGATTGATGATTGATTGTGGGACTGGTTCGTCCCAGCTGAGGTTGTGTAACCAGAGTTCTTGAAGAAGCATCTTAGCTCTGATTGTGATTGGTGACACAAACCCCAAAGGATCATAAATTTGAGCTACTTCTGAAAGAATGAGGCGTTTTGAATATGTTGACTCATGAGTGACTGATTTTGATGTGAATGTGAATGTGTCTGAGCTTGGATTCCATTGAAGTCCAAGAATTTTTGTAGTGCAGTCTTCGAAGGTGATTTTTTGTTGATTGCCTGATGATTGTGACGTTTTTTGAAGAAGTGATTGACTGTTTGATTGCCATTTTGCAAGGGGAAAGCCGCCCGCCTTGCACAAGTTGATTAATTCCTCAGCAACTTGAATTAGTTCTTCTGGAGAATCTGCTCCTCCAAATATGTCGTCGACATATCTGCCTTTAATGATTGTCTGAGTTGCTTTTGGATATTTATGGCCTTCATCCTCTACTAATTGCAGTAACACACGAACTGCTAGATAAGGAGCTGATCTAGTGCCGTAGGTTACTGTTGTGAGTTGATATGGGATGATTCTGTTGTGATTGTCTAGCCAAAGAATTTGTTGAAGCTTCCAATCTTCATGATGAACCATTATTTGACGATACATTTTTGTTATGTCGGTTGCGAATACGTATTGATGTTGACGAACCCAAAAAGTACGTCGAAGATGTCCAATTGAATTTTTGCTCCAGTATGAGTGATGTCATTCAATGAGATTCCAGTTGACGTCGGGCTGGATCCATTGAAGACTACTCTGAGCTTGGTGGTAGTGCTACTTGGCCTTAATACCCCATGATGAGGAAGAAAATATGGATGAATGTCTTGAGACTCTGGGTTGATTGTTGGAGCAGGTCTCATATGACCGAGTTCTTCGTATTCTTTCATGAATTGTCTGTACAGATTGCTGTATTCAGTCTCGTTGGTTAATCTCCTCAACTGACGCCTCAAACATCGATACGCAGTTGTATAGGAGTCCCCAAGAGCTGAGGGTGAAGAAATGAGTGGGATTCTAACAATATATCGTCCTGATGAATGTCTAGAGTGAGTTGATTTAAAGAAATCTTCACATTGTTGGTCCAAGGATGATAATTGATGTTGATTTGACATAGGAACTTCTTCTTGGACCCAGAATTTTGTTAGCAACTCTTGAATGTCTTCATGGTTCGTGATTGTAGTAGCATGATGAATGTGATAGTGATTGACTGATGAATTTGGTGCTACTGGACCAAGAATTAGCCAACCAAAGATAGAAAGTTGAGCTATAGGAGCTGTTGGAGAATGAAATATGATATTTTGTTTGATGATTTGTCCATAAAAGTCAGCTCCAAGTAGAATGTCTATCGATTGTGGAGTGTTGAATGTTGGATCAGCTAGTGTTAATCCATTGAGATGAGGCCAGTGATTGTTGGGATAATTACATGGCACTTTTGGAATTGAAGCTGTCAACTGTTTCATTATGTGAGCTCGAATGTGTACTGAATGATTGGATGATAATGATTGTAGCTCGCAGAATGTTACACCTTTTGTTTGAGTGAGCTTAGAGCTGCCCACTCCTCTTATGTTGATTGTCTGATGGTGTTTTCTCAGTTGCAGCAGATTGGCTAGATGAGAAGTGATTAGTGTTAGCTCTGATCCAGGATCTATGAGCACTCGTGCAATGTAACTCCCTGTATGTGAATTGGCTCTGACTTTTGCTGTTGCTAACAGCGTTGAATGATCATGTAGATGACTTGGAATTGTTTGACTTGAGCAGATTGCTCTCGTCGGTGATTGTCTGCTGAGTTGAGTTGATTTAACGTCACTTGATTGATGATTTTGTGTGCTGATAGCACTACTAGTTGAATGTTGATTGATTGTCCTGTGGTCATTCTGACCTTTTGATTGTCCTAGATGATTTTGCTGCTTCTGAGCTTGTCCTTTGGACCATTCCAACTGAACCCTCAACCCTCCTGAGGCCGAAACCTCATGTGCTAAGGTCATCCAGTCAGTTTGACCCTCCAGAGCAAGTCCATCAGCAAGCTTGAATGTCTGTGAATTGTGTGAATGTTCTTTGAAGACTGCTTCGCCTCCTCATTGCTGTGAAGTTGAAGGCTGAGTGTCTGATGATGATTGTTGTGATGATTGTGTCCTGGAAGACGCTTGATTGTTGGTGCTTGATGATTGTCTGAATAGTAGTGAATGGAACATTGTATGATGTTTAGAGTTGCACTCCTTACATCTGTTCTTGTTGGTGCAAGCTGGTGTGTTATGTCTTCCAAGACAGTTCCTGCAGAGTTTTTTACTGTCTACAGTCCTCAATCGCTGTTCAAGAGGCAAAGCCCTGTATTCTGGGCAGACTACGATGAAATGACCGCCATTGCAGCAGTCACAAATGAATCTACGCTCACTGGTAGTTGAATGCGATGAGCGTTGTTGATTGTCTGATTTGATTCGTGGCTCCAGTTTCTCCAAGGTACGAATCCGAGCCAGCAGAAACTCACGAAACTCTGAGTACGTAGGCATCCGCTCAAGATCATTGTCCTGAGTTTCCCAGAGCTCACGAGAATGTTGGTCAAGATGTTTGAGAATGTGGAAGATGAGAATTGTATCCCAATTCTCGGTTGATTGTCCCAATAGCTTGAGTGAGTCCAATGAATTGTCTACGATGGTGAGTAAAGATGATATCTTGGCTGAATGAAGAGCAGCTCTTTTAGACTCAGCAAACTGGCTGAAGAGTTTTTCCAGGTGAACATTGATGAGCCTCTTGCGATTCTCGTACCTGGATTTGAGTGTCGACCATGCCTTGGTGAATGATTCCTTCGTGTGAGGAAGGTTCTCTACCAGAGAGAGAGCTGGACCTGAAAGAGCTGATTTGAGATAATTAAACTTGATTACCTCATCCAGACCAGGTTGATTGGCTATCATGGACTCGAATTGATCTCTGAATGACAACCAGGATGCACTAGTTCCATGAAATTTGGGTACTGACAGCTTAGGAAGTCGGGCTAAAGCTTGTGCGACGTCAGATGCACCACTGGTTGATGTTGATTGTGCTGGAGGTTCCTTGGAAGCTACCTTAGCAGATATCATGAAGAAGTCTGAGACTGATTTGTTGAATGTCTCAAAGACATCATCCACAATGTACGGATGATGAAATTGAGATGGTGGCCAAACCTCCTCGAGCACTTGATGTTCTGAATTGAATGACTCGTGCAGCGCTGTGAGTTGTTTCTCCAGCGAGAGTCTTTCTTCTTTAGTGATTGTCTGTTGTTGGTCTTTGATTTGCTGAGTGAATGATTGGGCTAAGCGTAGCCGAGCCATTTGAGACTTGATCTTGAAGGTCAATTGAATCGGTAGACCAGGATTTGATGGTGTGATTGTCTGTATTGTGCTTTCAGTTGTCGATTTCCGTTGTGGCTGGAGATCTGGCTCTTCTAGTTGATCAGTTGGACTACCAAACTCCTCTACACCATCGTCAGGAGTCACGCTGATTGTTGGTTGAGGCTTCAAGGTCGTGGACTCTTGGTCCTCACTCTTCCTGTCTTGATCGGCCATTTTGTGCACTCACACACTTGATTGTCGGAAGCAGTGCACTGGTAGCACCAAAAAATTTGTACTTCAAAACCGAGAGCTCTGATCCGGCTCGAAGGACCAAATTAAATGATGAGAAAATCTCAACTTGTGAATTAACCTAACCGTTTAAGGATAGGGATGATTGTGCCGGAACAGAGCAAACGGAAGTCAGGTTTTATAACAAAAATAAAATATCTTTATTTTCAGCACTAACAGGTACACTGAATACACTGACGAACTTGAGTTGTTCACTAGGAAGACTGAATGTCGCTCAAAATCACTGAATGTCTAGTTTTAATTACTGAATGTGAATTGAATGTCTAAAAAATACTCAACTTGGTGTGTTCAGTATTATTGACCTCCCACACGAGCTCAGCACGCTTCTCAAGTTGAGTAAGAATATGATTGTGCACGTGGCGTGAGCCTATCAATGCAATGCAAAATGAATTTTATGAAATGTCTTGAATTTACAATGAATTATCGTGAAATATTACGTGATTATGGATTTAGCGTAAAGCCTGAATTTTTTGATGATTTACAATCGCACTAGTACTGATGATTGACTCACAATTATAAGATTTGTTGAGAATGAATAAGAATGGCGTGTACACGTGAACGAGAACAGTGAAAGAATGGCGACAGGAACTTCATTAGTCAAAGGGGACACTCAAAAGTAGTCAAATGAGTGACTAGATAAAGAATTATTGATTATTAGGTCGATTGGTTATCGACCCAGTCCCAAGATGGCCGCCGAAGTTCCTGTCAGCTGGCAAATTCAAATTGAGAATTAATTAATTCTCAACAGTATGTAAGTTTCATTTGAGCTTCAGAATTGTAACAGGTTAGAGTTTCAGTTAAAGATTGTTATAGCGTAAATGATTATTTGATATAGAAATATGTGATAACCATTCGAGTTCCAGTAGTTGTCACGAAAGTATAATTAAGTAGAATTATTAAAATAAATTCAAGAATTAAAAATATGTTGAATTTGTTAATTGATTTATCGTAGCTTGGAAACCTTTAACCCTGTCCGTCAGTTAGTTTATTTTATTCGGTCTTTTTATTTCGAGCATTTCTTTTGTTTAATTATATTCTGTTGGCCGGACACGACCCCTCTCCACAACCTACACAACTGAGGGCCAGGACATGCTCTGTTTAGGAGGATCCTGATTTTCGTAGAACCATCGTAGTTAAGTTAGATATCAGTTTGAGATTTAGTTCAAGTATTGAGATTTTGAGATATTGTGTGGATTTTGAGTTAGTTAGTAAGTTTTGAGATATTGAGTTTAGATTTAAGTTTGAATTAGTTGTAAGTTATACCAGTTCACTTATTCTGGTAAATAAAAATAACTTGACGTCCTAGATAAAGTAGTATTAATTTCTCAGGGATGGTTCTAATCAGGATTCACACCTGAAGGACGACTCAGGATAAAACACTGATAAGGAAATCTCGCGAGGTAGTCGAGGTTAATTGAGCTGCAGCTTTTAGATAATAATCTACGTCGAAAATGATAAACTGCGTAGTTTTTTTTCTGCGGAAAAACGTATAAAAATTTACGAGATACGTGTCTTCGTAATTTTCAACATAACATTAACGGCAGTAAACGACATTGCAATTTAAAAATTCCCAATTGCTATTGACTGATTATTTACAATCACAATAATCTCCGAACAAAATACGTCGTAATAAGAGACTGAATAGTTTATGATTATCTTGAGTAAAAATGATCAGTTTTTGGGCGCGCCTAAAGAAGACCCAATTTAAGCCCAAATGATTTCTTAGGTTCTTAACGCGCCCAATTCAAGTCCACAATGCTTTTTCAGGCCCACAACGCGCCCAATTCGAGATCAAAAATATTTTTGAGGCCTATAATGCGCCCAATCCCAGCCCAAAAATATTTTAAAAATTTAGAAAAGAAAACAAAATTGTCATCAAAACTTATCATCAAATCAACTTTGGTGCTACAAACTTACATCTGTAATAATTTATTGTCATCATTGTCGAATATGATCTCAGAAAAAGGGCTCGAATTGGGCGCGTTTTAGGCCTACAAA